GTTTGCACATAAGTCCAAAAATCTCACCATAAAACAACCTTGAAGCAGGACAGTCCCACAATATTCCTTTTCCTGTCTCTTCCTTTCATTCACCACCCCCTTCTTCTTGAACATCCACCTACCCGAGAGACATCTTAGCAGTAACTGGCATAATGACATATCTTTTATCTAAATATTTTCCTTGAGTTAAAAAGAATCTAAGTGTTAGTATCTTTTTTATTTTTATTTTTATTTTTTGTAGTAATGGGGATTGAACTCAGGACCTTGCACTTGCCAGGCGAGTGCTTATTCTACTGAGCTATCTCCTGGCCCTTTATTTTTTATTTTTATTTTATTTTATGCAGGGTCTCACTACACAGCTTAGACTTGTAGTGATCCTCCTGTTTTTAGACAGCCTAATACTAGGATTGCAGGTGCGACCATCTATCTGGACTTGTTTGTTGGCTCATTGTGCCTGGGGGTAGGGCTGGTGTGGCATGTGGTGCCAGGGATCAAATCCCAGTCCCTGTGCTTATGTAGTCAGGAACTTAGTCTGCTGAGCTATCTCACTGGCCTTTGTATTATCTTAAAACAGGTACATTTTCCTGAGTTTTACAACTATGATTATTTCATACAGAGTGTCACTGTGCAGTTCAGACTCATGGTGGTCCTGCTATCTCAACCTCCAAAGTGCTAGGATTACAGGCATGTGCCACCATGCCTGGTTTTGGGGCTAGCACAGCACACCCAGTGTTCTGGAGCTAGTATGGCATGCAATACCTGAGATTGAACCTGGGTCCTTGTGCTTGCTAGGCAGGCACTTAGACCACCAAGCTCTCTCCTTAGCTCAGTAACTTCTGTTTTATTATGTTAGTACATAGCAATTTTATAATTCAGAAGGAAACTAATATTTCAATTCAAGTAATAATTTTTGCCTCTTCCTTTCTCGGGTTTTGTCACTGTATCTCTTTGAACCATAATGTATTTGAAAATGAAGTTGTATAATATATTTTTCTAGTACAAAGGAAATTAGCAAATAAGATTGCTTATGTTTACTTATATTTTACAAACTTGATAGCTGATAAGTTAGTTTTTTTAACCTTGTAATGTTTGGATATAGACATAATTCAAATGGAAAACACATAGAAACTAAAAAAATTATATTTATTTGACTTTAATTATATATTAGCATTTTTTGCTATAAATTTCATCCCTGGGACTGGTGAGATAGTTCAGCAGTCTAAAGCACCTGCCTAGGAAACCTTAGTCAAGGGCACAGGCACCACATGCTGTGCCAGCCCTGCTCCCAGGGTGGACTGAGCTGGACACAAAAAATAAGTAAGTAAAGTGCAGAGTCCTGAGTTCAGTCCCCGGTACCGAAATAAATAAATAAATAAATAAATAAATAAA